AGTTAGGGCAGTTTACATATTGACCTAGGTTAGTATGTTTCAATGGAATAAGCATTTTAAGATTGTGAGTGACGATCAGAGGGCTATACTTAAGTGCACCTAGAGATTGGATTAACCCCATGGGGATAGTCCTAAACATCTTTGAAACAATGAGATGAGATTTAGCCCCTAAGAACCTAGTAAATCTCTACAACAAGGACGACTAAGAAAGCTTAACAAGCCTAATAGCAATGTAACGGTTTCACCAGAGTTTGTACCTTCTATTTCCTCTGATATGCCTTTAGCGTTGGAGTGCCCTTGCCAAGCGGTAGGATGTGATGAGAGCTTGCAACTAGGCTGCTTACTAAGTATTTTTATACTCACCCCTTCCCACATTTTTTTTTTGAAGTATTGCTAGTTGAGGTGGCATTATGCTTGAAAAATATGTTGTCACAAATTAGTGTCAACCACGAGTTAGAAGAATTTGATTACGTCAAATATGATTAAATACACATTGTTTCTTTTGGGATAGTTAGAGTAATTTTAGCTATTTAGTTTAACTAATTTGTCATATTTTTGGACTCAATAATATCGTCACTATTGGAAACTCCAATTGTTTATGTTTCTAGCTTAGTCATTCTTCTTTCAAAACCTTACAATTGGTATCAGAGCAACAGGATAGAAATTTTTGAATGATCAAATACAAAGAGTATGAGTGAAGACAAAACTTTAACGAAGATCCCTCACTTCAATGATCGCTATGATCATTGGAGTGAGCTGATGGAAAATTTGCTCAAAGCAAAGGGTCTATGGTGTGCAGAGATTGGTTTCTTAGAACCAGTGGAAGAAATAATGCCACTAAAGGGCCACCTTGATGATGCTAGTCTCAAACATCATCAAGTAAAGCATTATCTCTTTCAGGCAATTGATCGTATTGTATTTGAACAAATCTTGGATCATTGCACAACCAAGATTGTCTGGGACTCAATGAAGCGAAAGTTTGGTGGAAACCAAGAAGGGAATAAATCTCTTCTTAATGCATTAAGGAGAGAATTTGAGATCCTAGAGATGAAGAAGGATGAAAGTATCACAGATCATTTTGCAAGAGTGATAATAATCTCCAACAAGATGACAAGTATGGAGAAGATATGCCAAACAAGAAAATTGTAGAAAAAAATTTGCGTACCCTGCTTGGAAAATTTACTTCTGATGTAGTATTCATTGAGAAATCTAAAGATACTGATAACATGTCCATTGATGAATTACAAAGTTTATTAGTGGTGCATGAACAAAAATTTCAAAGATCCAACATTAATGAAGAGGTGCAAGTTCTAAAAGTCGAAGCTCGAATGAAAATAAGTAATAGAGGAAGAGGAACTTACAAGAGCAAAGTCGTGAAAGAGGAAGATCAACTTTCAACAAAGCAACTGTTGAATGTTATAGGTGTCATGACTTAAGTCATTTTCAATATGAATGTCCAAAGATGAACAAAAGTAATTGAATTATGAAAGCAGGAAGAAAAGGATGAAATGAGGTTAATGGCTCATATGGAAAGATATGAAGCAAAAAGGAGTGATGCTTGGTTCTTAGATTCTGGTTGATCAAACCATATGTTTGCAAATGAAGGTATGTTTTCAAGCTTAGACAAGACCTTTTCTCGTACTGTCAAGCTTGGAAATAACATAAGTATGAAAGTTACTCAAAAGGGTGTAGTGAAATTAACTTTGCTTGGGGTTCGTTACACTATTAGTAATGTGTATTGGGTACCTGAACTCAAAAATAATCTCTTGAGCGTTGAACAACTACAAGAAAAAAGAGTAGCAGTGTTGTTCAAAGATGGTGTATGTAGCATTTATCATCGACAGAAAGGAAAAATGGTAGAGTCAATTATGAGTGCAAATTGGTTGTTCATTTTGCTTGCTGAACCATATGCCACAACAAATGAAGGAGATGCCTCGAAGTTTATAACATGGACCAGTCAACACTTTGGCACCATCATATGGTCATCTCGGCTACAAAGGCTTGTGCACCTTGAAACACAAAAAAATGGTGAAAAGTCAGCCACAAATTGTAGTTCCAAACACCACCTGTGAGGCATGTATGAAAGGCAAGTAACATTGGACTCCATTTCCAAAAAAAGGTAAATGGAGAGCAACCGAAAAATTAGGCCTTGCTCATGTAGATCTATGTGGTCCAATTTCACCAACTTCAAGTAGCTAGAAAAAATATTTGTTGTGCTTTATAGATGATTTTTCAAGGAAGACTTTGGAGTTATTTTCTTGTAGAAAAACCATAAACACTTTATCATTCCAATTATTTATAAATAATGGTGGAAAAGAAAATTGGAATGCCTATAAAATGTTTAAGGAAACATAAAGGAAGATAATTAACTTTGCAGAATTCAACAATTGACTACGGATAAAGAAATCAAATTCATTGAAAAAATCAAATAAGGAACTTGGGGGTTTTACTGGTTTGAGCAAAGGAAATAGGAGTGGATTTGATTTATAAGACCAAGCTTTATGAGTATAGAGAAGTTGATAAATACAAAGCAAGACTGGTGGTAAAAGGCTACCCACAAGAGTATGAAATTGATTATACGTAAGTGTACACACCTGTGGCCAGAATGGATATTGTGAGAATGATCATTACTTTTGCAGGGTCATGCAGGAGAGTTTCTCCTTCCGCAAAGGTTGGTTGGAAACTCTATCAATTAGATATCAAATCAACTTTTTTATGTGGTGAGTTAAAAGAAGATATTTTTGTCGAGCAACCAAAAAGCTATGAGAAAAAGTGAAGTGAGGAGATGGTGTACGAACTCCAAAAGGCTCTCTACGGATTGAAACAAGCACCTAGAACCTAGTATAGTCGAATAGAATCCTACTTCATCAAAGAAAGATTCGAAAGCAGTTTCCATGAGTAGACATTTTTCATCAAGAGGAAGAGAGGTAAAATTTTTATTGTAAGAATTTATATTGATGTTCTTTTATTTACTGGAGATGTTGAAAAATTATTGGAGGAATTTAAACGTTCTAGGAAGAAAGAGTTTGATATGATTTACTTAGGTCAAATGAGATTTTTCCTTGGAACAGAGGTAATACAAAGATTAGATGGTATTTTTACATGTCAAAGGAAGCATGCGGTTGAAGTTTTAAATCGATTTGGCATCGAGAATTGCAATTCTGTTGATAATCCTATTGTTCCAAGACAAAAAATTGGCAAAGATAAAAATGGTGCAAAAGTAATGTAACTTTGTATAAACAAATAGTGGGAAGTCTAATGTATCTCATAACTACTTGTCTTGATCTCATGTTTGTTGTAAGTTTGATTAGTCATTTTATGTCCAAAACAACACCATTTTGCAGCAGCTAAAATAATTTTAGGTACTTGAGGTATAGTAGATTATGATGTATTTTATAGAA